ATACAGATCTATTTGGGGCTGTGAAACAGCACTGGAATAAATAGATAAGAATGTAAATAGAATCACTCCTGCTAAAACAGACAGAGCCCCCAATTGTTAAGGTACCCTCTTTCTGAGAAGAATTTTTGGCAATTTGCTCATGAAGATGCCATAGATGAAAACTGACAGAAGCAGCTGAAATCTAAAAACGCTTTAATACATTGTAGTGCCAATTTGGGGGGCATAGTAATTTATTTTATCTTGATTTCCAGCAATCAACCTTCAGATGATCCTTGAAAGAGGGGTGGTTTCTGGGTATAGATAAAGGAAAAGTGAAAATTATTTTATCAAGGGAGAGTGTTGAAGCAGTAGAGGGAGCATAGAAGAGTCCATGCCTGGCTTTGGACTAGGACTATATCTTTGGGGTAGAAATCAGATGTTGGCCACTGGATTGATTGCCATGTGTCTGTAGCCCGAAGATTGACTGCTGTGTAATGTCTAAATCAGAGGAAGACAATAAATAATGCCTGGGTTGGAAGGTTAACTTCTGTGAAAGGAAAGGGAACTAATACATATATAAATTAGTGTGCTGGAAATCTTTTCTCTCATTTACTCTATTAAAAGCCTCAAGGATGTCCTGTAGATATTAAATGTGGTGCCCAACCTCCAAGATGGTTCAGTAAGCTCAGCCTCTTGGTATTCCTTTTTCTCTACCCTGCACTCTATCCTGGAAAGGTAACCTGGGGAGGTTGGTTCAACACATTTCCAAGCCCTCTGGCTTCTGGTTGAATTATACTCATGGGAGTCCTGGAAGGTAGCTATGATGAGATTATCTTGAGCTGGTTGCATCCCTCAATAGAAGATCACTACTGCTAACCAAGTGATCTTTGCTATACTTAACTCTCTTTTTTCTGGTTCTGTTGGACCTAAGGATGGTCCAGAAGTCCTTTACTGCTGGACTCAGGTTTCTGCACATCCTTTGTGATTCCTTGATTCTCACCCCTATCTTCACAATTAGTCTTTCTGTAAATCAATCTTTAATAATTATTTTAGTTTTAGTATGTCATGGTGATAGAATAATTGGTGTCAGAAATGGCTCTAGAAAGTAGAGCAAAAATTAGACCTGAAATTTATTTGGTCATATATTTTAGGGTCTCATTGCTGAGAGAAAACTCAATAATTTCTTGTAATATCCTTAGTGGTAGCCTGGGATAAAGTGCATAAAGAGAAGAAGATCCTGGCTCTATGGGGCTTCTGGAAAGTTCCAATATGAGAATCACACATAAACCCCTAGGAATTTGGAGTTTTCCTTTGTTCCTGTGTTGATAACTATTTTTCATTTAAAAAGTAGCTCCTGGCTTGCTACTGGTAAAGACTTAATGGTTGATCATAGATCATAAAATAGTTCTGTGATCCAAACTGACTTTGAAGAGCTGAGTTATCTGATTCACTGAACCATAAAATTGGACACACACAGCAGCAATCCATCATAAAAATGGAAGCAATGTATTTGAAAGTGGGCCTTAGCAGATCGGAAGTTTCAAGAAAGTTTCTTGAGCATGTGACTTACATTCACATAGTACCTATTCTTTCTGTCCCTCCTTCAACTCATGCCAGAGACCCCGATGTAAATTCTCCATCAGCTAATGATGGAGAAGCTCAGGCTTTAGGACAGATCTGTACCCTGAGTTCACACCAAAGGGAAATAAACAGCCATTGTGTTACAGTCCATTCCAGCTGTAACCAGAAAGATGGTGTTGAAATAAAATCCTCCCAGAACTTCAAAAAGAAATCATTTGTTCACTTTATTAGGGAAAATAGTCTGATTCATTGATCTACTTTGATTCATGGGCAATGCGAGAAAGAATGGCTGGGAACATTGAAAGAACAAGGTTGTGATTTGGTGACAAGGAGACCAGGGAGATAGGAGTGTGTTTGAAACTCTCAGAATGGGGATAGAATGATAGCCCAGAGAAAGATATAACAGAGACTACAAGATGATCCATTCTGTGGAATCAGTTAGCCTTTTCTCAGTTTCACTGGTGCTTATTCAGGGGTTCTCTGTATGTTCTTACCAGGTAATCCAAAATTCAGACACCGCTGGCTTGATAAAACCAAGGAAAAACCTGCTAAAACCTAAATTACTATGATATCTGGGAGTCAACATCCTGTAAACTAGTAATGGTGACCAATAGGATGCAGTAAATGTTTTAAACCACCAGCAAATATGGTATTGCTTCCCCAAAGCCAGGATATATAAATCTGAGAACTAAGGAGTGGGGATTAGAATGACTCCTCTCTCCATTTCACCTAAAAACTCTCTGGAATATTGGGTTTTTTTTTTTTCTTTTTTCCATGCCTAGCTTTATATTTTTAATAAAACACTTAAATGAATTCTTTTCATACACAAATATATACTTTCTTTGGGCTGTGAACAAATTACTACAAACTTGGTAACCTAAAACAACAGAAACTTATTATTTCACAATTGTGCTGAAAGTACAAATTCGAAGGAATACTGTTATTCACATTCCCTGACACTTGGGTTTGGTGGCATTGAAGATTCTAGTGCTCAAGTGGAGAACTTTTATTGAAAGGTGAGATGGCCCTTTGGCCATTTTGGGATTCCTTATACCAGTGAATCAACAGGTATAGAAGGAGATTCATATATCCTGGGGCATCAAGGACTGATCACCTTTGTGATCATCAACTTAGGACTCAGGACAGCACAGAGGTGGGATTGTAGCAGTCATGTTTAATGTTACTTTTTTCTTTCCTCCTTGTTTCCTTCTCTACTTTACTTTAACAACCCTAATAATGGCTGATGTACTAGGTTTCAGGTAGAAGTATTGTTACAGGGCAGGGAGAGGGGCACCCCAGACCCCGCAAACCTGCCTGCTCTAAATAGGTTCTGCCATCTGCCACATCAACACAAAACATATGAGACTTTAATGAAAAGGAACTTTAATACAATTAGTAAACAATACAAGAAAGGCAAAGAATATAGTTTCTAAATCAAGCACCCGAAGTTACCCGTCCCCTCATGGGTAAAAGTCCACCCAAGTGGGATTGGCCCAGAGCAAGGCCCCAAAGCCTGCCCCAAGTCTAAAGCATCTTCCAGTGGGGACCCACAGAAAAGGATCAGAAACAAACAGATACGTTTGGGAGGAAAAGAGCAAAATCAAAACCAAGATAAAAGTTGCCATTGTCACCTCCCCACAGGTCTGTCACCCACATTGTGTCAACAAGTCCATAACCAAAAGGCCAGCACAGTTTCTTCATGGGTCTCTCAGCTCCATGTGCTCCTCCAGGTCTCCTTCTGGCTCTCCATTCTGCTTCGTTCCTTCCTCTGATCCTTCTCCAGCTGCTTCTTCTCCCTCCTTAACTCCGCCCTCCTTTGGGCGGGGCAGGGAACCTGGAAACTCCCCTTTTCCTGGGCGCCACCCTGTTACAGTATGACCTCATTGACATCACCTTGTCATAGTACAGGAGGTGAAACTCCCATTGCAGTCTCTGTGTTGGGGTCATGGAGTGGATGCTGAGAGGTTGACTGTATGTTCCAAAGACTTTAGAGGGATATTTAATTTAATCTTCTCAACAACTCTATAGTAATAATAGATCTTGATTAACCTTTTACTGTATACATGTCAATTCCCTAGGTGCCTTGCATGAATTGATTTAATTAATATTCACAGTAGCCTTACATGCTAAATATCCCATTATTTCCATTTGACAAATGAGGAAATGGAAACACAGAATTATTTAACTACTTTGCCCAAACTCACAAAGTTAGAGATTAACCTCTGTACTACAAGCCTTCTCCAAAGATGTAGGTGTGCTTATCTTGTTTGTACAGATGGGAAACAAAGACTTAGGGAAGTAAAAGGATTTATCCACAGCTAGGACCAAGCCTAGGTCTGTCTAACCTCATCATTAATGTACTCTGCTTCCTTAATGTTTCATTTTGGGGTGTTGATATGAATGAGGAACAGATGATAGTGAAATGCAGATTTTACTTGAACCAAAAATATCCTTTTGATAAATTCAGAATTTATGATCTTTAAAAATGATAAATGACATAACTTCAATAAAGTATAGATTGAGTTTCACTATAAAAGTACAAACATGACCCAGATTCACTAACTAGCTGTTTCTTTCTTCAAATATCCAGCTTATATTTGGATTTAACCTATAGAAAAGTTGAAAGCCAAAAAACATATGGATATATTTTATATACAAAATATAAAAATAAAATAAATATATATAACATATTAAGTTATATACCAGATATTGAAATATAAAATATAAAACATTTATATAAAAATAAATATTAAAATATACTCGAGAAAGATGGACCTAATTCGAAATCCCTGCTAACAGATTTTATTATTATTTTTTTAAGATTTATTTGTTTATGCATACAAGAACTTGGGCACAGGCCAGAGATGCGGGGGTGTGGGGTCTGAGAGGATTCACCAGAGACAGAGTGGGGAGCAGAACAGGTGGATTCACTGAAATTCACTGCTGAGGACAGACAGGAGAGGTCTGCTGCGCCAAGTGGATCATCTCCCTGGCTGCGGATAGCTTCATAGTGCTGAGACTTAACCTCTTGCGCCACGAGGAAGGCCCCCTGCTAACAGATTTTCTATGAGAACATGGTTTTTCTTTACATCTTTGGAGAATCATGTTCTTCTTTACATTTGTTGCCTGACATTATCGTGACCAAATATAATGGTCAACCATCTGCACATTGAGGAAATGCGCAAACCAGGCCTGGGGAGAAGAGCATGAGAAGGGAAACCACATTGGCCAGGGTGCCAGGAACTTATTTATGCTATAGTAACGGTGCTTTACGTTCCACTAGTTGAGGAGGGCAGAGTTCAGACTTTGTATGTGCTTTATAATTGTTCAATTCACCACTGTCTTGGAGGCTTTCCCCTTTGGAATAGCACCACCAGCCTTACCTATCCAACATTATGGACTTGTGGCTCTGTAACAGCTGAAAATGATCTGCTTTTCAGATAATACCATCCAGTCGATTTTCTGTTGCTGCTGTTCCCTACAGAAGCGGTAAGTCTGCTTCCAAGGGCAACTTCTTGGAAATTAATTTATTCTTTTCTTTACTGTCTATTTAACATCCATGTTTCTTTGTATCTGCCTGGGAAATCTTTCTCTTCTTCTCTCCCTGTTGGGCTCAAATATCAAGCCTTGGATCCTCCTTGATTCTCTTGGATTTAATTGCTCCTCCCATTATGTTCCCAGAGCATGTGGCTTAGTTCTGTATTTAATATTTTTTCAAGTATGTTGTTTATATGCCTTTGTTCCTCTCTGTAAGTTTTACCCTTTAAGGGCAAGACTTCTGCCATATTTATTTGAATATGTTCCCCAAACTCTCAATGTATTTTATACTTTGGTGCCCAGCAAATAATTGTGTAGGGGAAAAATAGAAGACTCCATGATAATGGAATCAGTTAATATTTAGTGGGAAAGCCCTTTATCTATGTCAGACGGCGCCAAGAGCTTGTGTTTTACTAGCTCAAGTAACTCTCAAAACCACCATGAGCGTGTTTATTTTTTTTCTTACCATTTCTATTTTACAAATGAGGGAACTAAGGCTTCGGTTACACTGCTTACCCAAGCCACGCTATGAAATGGTAGAACTGGGATTCAGACTTGTGTTCTTAATCACGACTCCATATCTACCTATAACAATAGCTACCATCAAATGAGATAATGGATATAAAATGATAAATACTGTGCTAACAGAGTGAGTTTTTCATTACCATGACTCTAATTTTGTGCCCATAATATGCAACACACTCTGTACTGAGTCTGTGACATGTTTTCTCAACATAGCAATACTATATGTTCTTACCATCTCCTGTTACCCACTAAGAAAAGTTAAGTTTCGAAAGATAGTATCTTGCCCAAGGAAATGGAGTTTGGGAATCTTCTATATAAAAATGTAGTAGGAAAGAAACCTGGATTTTTCGTCTCGTTTTGTGATCATCTAGTGGATTTATAAGGAACCTAAATATAAATAATCATTTGTATGATGATTGTGTTTCTATGCCAGACAAATGAGAACACAAATAAGCCTGAGCAGAGATGAAGAACTTTCAGAAGAATACACTCCACGGGGAAGACAGTGGTTTTGTGAAATGCAAAGCAAGAAGCAAGTGAGTATCATTTTGATGAGGAACAAAAGGTAAAAGAAGCTTACAATTAAAGGGTCTACCCTCATGAGTTTCTGTTTGCTGAAATGCCCTGCACTTAATTTCACACTTGGTGCATAAAATGTTCTAATAAACATTTCATGAATGAGTGTTCTAGAAAAAAATGACAGTGAAAAAGATTAGTTAAAATAGCCTAGATACGTTTTCCCAGAACTTGAATCTGGACAGTGAATAAGGAAACAAACTAACAAACAAATTATTTACTCTGACTACACCATTTTGCCATTTTGAGACCAGGATAAATTTTCAGTTCATTGTTGGAAGAAACCAAGTTTTCTATGAAGGGTAGCAAACCCAGACACAAGCTTATAGCACTGAAAATGGAAGGGCTGTTTTTCTTTTCCCAAGAGAAGCAAAGCCTTAAAACAGAGTAATACTATTGGGGAAGAGGGAAAATTTTAAAATTATGACATGAAAAAAATCAAATGCCTATAAGAGAATTTGTCATCTCAGGAGTTTACAAAATGATGTGTTGTGGGATCCAAAAATGGTGTGTTAGGTCATCTTCTATGTTTATTCCTCCCTGGCTTCTGCTCTGGTGCAGCTAGGTGAGAGAAGAGAGGTGGCAGGCAAATATACTACATCACTATTTATCTTTTTTAGTGTATATAAATAAAACAATAGTGCAGCAACTCACGCCTTGGTTTTCACAGTCCAACAGGGGTTATTTGCAACCATCAAAACGCAAGCCTCTGCCTCCACTCCCACCCTCCGAGGTTGTTGAGGAGAAGATGCAAGTCAAGGCCCTGTATGACTTTGTACCCAGAGAGCCCTGTGATTTAGCATTAAAGAGAGGAGAGGAATACCTGATATTGGAGAAGTATAATGCTCACTGGTGGAAAGCAAGAGACCACTTTGGGTAAGACTGATGGCTTGTTTGGTCTTTATCAAATTGCTGCTCTTTTATCCCCTAAGGCTTCAGAATCATAAAGAAGACTCTGCTTAGTGGCTCATTTTCTCCAGGTTTATAATTCTTCCTTCCGCATGCACTAGAACCTGTCTCCACACTTGAGACCATTAGAGTAGCGTGTTCAGGCAGAGTCTCAGAACTAGCTTCATTTCAGGATGCTGCCACTGACTAGTGTGTGTTCTTGGGCAAATCAGTCACTCTCCCTGAGTTTCCATTCTTTATTTGTAAAATGGGACTAATAATTTCTACCAGGTAGATTTTTATTTTTTTTTTTTTGTCCATTTATGCAAGAGCTGAGGTACAGGCCAGAGGCGTGGGAGGATGAGAGGATTCACTAGAGACAAAGTGGTGAGCAGAACAGGCAGGCGGACCGAAGATACTGCTGAGGGTAGCAGTGGGCAAGACAGGAGAGGTCTGCAGTGCCATGTGCGTATCAACCTGGCTGGTCGGGAATCGAAGCCATGCTGCAGAGGCCGAGGACAGCTTCACATTGCTGCGCTCAACCCACTGTGCCACTGTGGAGGCCCTAGATTTTTATTATGATTTATAACTTTTTTGGAAATTTGACTTGTTTTTCTGTTAAGCTCTCAGGTAGAAATAAAACAGTATCTTAATCATTTTTATATTTCTGCAATGACTAGTTTTGGAAGTAAATACTAGAGTATTGATGAATTGAATTGGAAAGAAAGATTCTGGGGGGCCTTCCTGGTGGCGCAGGTGGTTGAGCGCAGCGCTGTGAAGCTGTCCACAGCTTCTACAGCGCTGGTTCGACCCTGGCCGCCGGCGAGAAGACCACATGGCGCAGCAGATCTCTACTGCCTCGCCCACTGCTCCCCTCAGCAGTGTATTTCAGTCAGTCTGCCTGTTCTGTTCTCTGCTCTGTCTCTGGTGGATCCTCTCACCCTCCCATGAATTTGGCCCCTACCCCGTTTCTTGTATAAATAAATAAATCTTAAAAAAGAAAAAAAAAAAAGGAAGATTCTGGGTATGCAGACAGACTTCATTATGTCAATTTCTATAGATTATTGATGCCTGACTGCAGTCCTGGGTAGAAAGAAGGCTGAGTCTCTGGGCTTGGGGAGAGAATGCTATCATTGAGACTGATAAATTGCCAAGGATTTTGAGATTACAAGTATCTAAGTAGAAGCACCTAAATTACATGTTTTTCCTCTTCAATGATATTTTCATGATGATTTGGCTCTTGCATCGGCCCTTAGTCTAGGCTTATTATGTGATGGAGAATTTTCAGGGGGAGGAGAGGTATTCGTAGGTTCAGGATTGTCATAGGCCATTCCTACAGATGGCCTATTGGCATGTATCAGACTTAAAAAAAAAAAGAATGGAATGAATTTTTAATCTAATGTTAAGTGAATAAAGTTTTTTTTTTGTATGCAAACATGATAAATAATGCCAGATTCTGTTTTGCCACTGCTTCCAAACCCAATCTGTTCCCCCAAAGCAGTAATGTTCAAATCCTTCCACATCATTTTAAGCAAACTTTCATGCACATATTGAAATATATGATATTGTTTAGAGATTGAATTTAGCTAAATCTTAGGCTTTATGTATACTTTGCGCTACAACTTGCTTTTATTTCTCACTAATATGTTTTAGTGGGTCTTTATAATTTCAAATGTCAATGAATGTGTAGGAAAAGAGAAGCCCCCACCCTGCTGATGGGTGTGTAAACTGGTATATCTCTATCAAGGGCAACTTGCTCTATCTACTGAGAGATATGTGTCTTTGGTGACCCAGGAATTTCCTTGTTTGGTCTCAGTTTTAGAGAAATACTCTTGTGCACAAGAAGTCATGTTCAAGTATTTCCTTACAGCATTGTTGTAAGGCATATAACTTGACTAAAATATCTACTTTTGGGGGCACTTTGCAGCAATTTAAAAACCTTAAGTCAATAACTTTGTAGTTGATGTGTTTTTAACCTAGTAACTAGGTGCATAACCTAGTAATTATAACATCCTGATGATCATGTAAAATCTTTGAAAAGATTTTAGTGCCCTAAAACACCCTAAGCTACTTACATTGTAAGTCTGAATCTTAGTATTTGTCAAACAGATTTTATGGAAAACATTTTTCTTCTTTTAACAATTTAATCAGTAAAGTGAATTTGATTCCCTGTACATCTTTGAGGTTTTAAAAAGATTGATGTCATAAAAATGCCACAAACATGCCAAACATTTTGATTTTTGCTTTGTCTTTTATTGTAGGAATGAAGGTTTAATCCCAAGCAACTATGTGACGGAAAACAAATTAACAAATTTAGAAATATATGAGTAAGTTTTCTCCAAGATATGACCCATGGTTAATCTATGAAAATCAGGTTTATTTTGGCAGTTTCGCTAGATAGATAGATAGATAGATAGATAGATAGATAGATAGATAGATAGATAGATAGATAGATAATGTTTTAAGTCTGCAAAGGAAAAGAAAGTAACACATTTGGCACCTTCAGCTTAAGAGATCTTTGATCCTTATAATGGCTGATTCAGAAACTTCTTAAACTTCTTTTTGTTTTGTTTTGTAGGGCTACTTTTTGGGCTTTGTTTTGTTCTAATAGCAACAGCCTGAAACCAAACACCCATTTTGTACTTGTTTTACTTTATATCCTAAATGGAAAATTAACTGTTAAAAATGACATCAAAATTTCAATCAGTGGTAAATGGCACTTTTTAGACACTTTTTTTTTTGGCTCATGTTTTGAAATGTTTTAGTATAGGTGAAGATGAGAACTGAGCTAATGCTATAGTTTGGAAGAACTTCTGTCATGTTTTGAGAGTTCTACTTAGCAATCTATTTTTGTTACTATTATAAACATGGAAGATGGAGCAGAGCTCAGCAATCATTTTTTCGCCCTCATTCTGCCAGTCAGAAAAAGAGGTTGAGTGATGAGTTTACAAGTAGAAAGTGGCAAAGCTGGGAGTAGTGCTAGTCTATAAATTGAAGTTGGTTGAACACTTGCGCACCCTTTCCTACTGATACTTGCTCTGCAGTTAGCCTATACTTCCAGCAGATGGCTGTCACTAAGGTGCTTCTTTGAGAACCAGGCAGCAAATACAAATTGAATGAGAGAGCCCTCCTTGGTCTGCCTTCACTAACTTATTTAAGCCCAGCTGGAGGTCAGGCTCAGTATATCCCTCTCTTAAAACAAAGCCAATTCTAAAAGCATTGGTGAATAATGTAGATTTTATTGGAGGGGAGAAGAGGACCCAGGACAAATGACATAGCTCATAATGTTACAGGATTTTGCTATTAGTTCTTTCTGTTCTCTCTCCCATTATTCTCCTCTGCTCCATCATCGGAGCTCTTTTCTCTTCTCCCTTCCTGGCCATAATCCCTCTCTTGACCTAAGCATTTAGCTCTGCTCCGAAAGTCCATTCTCCACGCAGTAAAACAAAGTCCATAGGTGGCTGAAAAACCTACAGAAACCAGTTCCGTGACTGCAGATACCAAACAAGCTCTGTGGTGGTCTTACTGGGGTCTCACTGCTACTCCCAGCTCAAACTGCCCAACATAAACAGGTCTCTTTGGAGGCTAAGTCAGGGGAATTTTTGTTTGGAAATCTATGAAAAATTAGACGATTTTTTAATTTATAACCCCAGTTCACTTTTTTCCAGGACATTAAAGGAGATATATCACAAAGGTGCCTAACACAGTGCCTGGTGGTTAGTGCATGACACTCACTAACCAGCAGTTCTACTTCCTTTTCTTCATTGTTAAGTAATTTGCTGGTTCCTTCTCTTGTTTAGACTAGACTTGGAATCTGGCTGTAACAACTTGTTTATATTGTATTTAAGGGCCATTTAAATCAAACTACTCAGAGATTAGAACGATCGTATTTCCTCATGCCTTGATTTATGTGTCTTTGAAAGTCATTAATGACTCCAATTACAAGAAGACTAATATTTAATTATATTGCAGTTTCTTTTTAAAAAAGTTTTATTAAAATAGTAATTATCACTATAAATCACTAAAATTTATCAACCATGAGGCTCATGACTATATAGAAATTACCAGCGTAGGTTGAAGTATATAGTGTGGCTTAGAAATCAGAGAAATATGTGTTCAAATCCCAGCATCACCACTAACTGGTGCTTTGACTTTGGACAACATTATCCACTAAACCTTGAAAAGTGGGGTCAATAATATCTGTCTTATGTTGTATATAGTAAATGTTTATTTTTTAAAAAGATTTATTTATTTATGCATACAAGAACTGGGAAAGAGGCTAGAGGTGTGGGGGGTGAGATGATTCACCAGAGACAGAGTGGGGAGCAGAACAGGCAGATCCACCGAAGTACACTGCTGAGGGGAGCAGCAGGTGAGTCAGGAGAGGTCTGATGGGCCATGTGGGTATCTCCCTGCCTGGGGATTGAACTGGTGCTGAGGTGGCTGCAGAGAGCTTCATAGGTTGCGTCTTAACCTGTTGCGCCACCAGGGAGGCCCTATACTAAATGTTTAATACAGTTTTCTTTTTAAGTACTTTACATATATTATAGGGCAAATTTGTCACTTTAATAGCCTTTTGTAAGTCCTTACATGATCCTAGAAATCTAATAAATTTATATATGGGATAAATCAAGTTCTCCTAACCATACAAATATCATATAAAAATTAGCCAAATTCCTTTAAACTTCAAATAAGTCTAAAATCAATTATTCATCTTAAATCAGAGAGGACAATTGGAAATTACAGATTTTCTGAAGTCATGTACAATTGGATATTCTAAATGTTAAACATATTGTTTATCCTGAACTTTACAGACTGTGGGTCTGATTTATCTCATTATGTCTACACTGAATGTTTAATCTTCTCAGGGTTAGAAAATCACTGAGCAAAGCAGATTTGCCTTCTTAGATCTAATGGGGTTTTTAGGTTGAAAATTCAAAACCCTAATACTGTTACTTATTGTTAGAATTCTAAGGCTAGAACATGGGAACTGAACTGTTATATATGCAAGATACTTCTTTTTTTTTTTAAATTATTCATTTATGCATACAAGAACTAGGGTACAGGCCAAAGGTGTGGGGGCGGGGCGTGAGAGGACTCACCAGAAACAGAGTGGGGAGCAGAACAGGCAGATTGACCGAAGTACACTGCTGAGGGATGCAATGGTTGAGTCAGGAGAGGTCTGCTGCGCCATGTGTGTAGCTCCCTGGCCAGCCAGGGGATTGAAATCGTGTTGCAGAGGCTGCGGACAGTTTCAGAGGTTGCGCCTTAACCCCTGGTGCAACCAGGGAGGTCCTATGCAAGATACTTCTAATCAAGCATGATTGGACTTGATTAATGCCAGTAGAAGCTCAGCCCCAAATCTTGTGTCCGCATCATTCTACATTAGTTTTATCATCAGTGTTGTCTAGATATGTAACAACATTACCCATTAAAAAAATACTCTTCTGATATATACCATAGAATATTACTCAGCATTCAAAAAAGATAAACACATGCAATTTGCAGCAACATGGATGGCGCTGGAAGGGATCATGCTCAGCGAAATAAGCCAAAAAGAAAAATACCGGATGGTCTCACTCATAGCAGGAATCTAGAAAACTTAAATAAGGGACCAGGAAAATGAATAACTATAAGAAAGTGAAAATCAAAATCAACAAAGAACTATGAACCAGAGACACTTTGTGGGGGTGGGGGGTGGGGGACGGGAGGGGAGGGATTGGGGTCAGAATGGAGGGGTTGCAATTGTATGGGGGAATATAAAAATAAAATTTATTATTTAAAAATAAATAAATTAAATTAAATAATCAATTAGGGTATTTAAAATAAGTATGAGTAGTATGTTAAGGACTACAATGGTAAAAGTAAATAATGTGCAACAACTGATAGATAATAGACTTTAATAAAAATCAATTTAAATGTTAAAAAAAATACTCTTCTGATTTTTACCATATGATTTAAATACATCAAATTCTTAAATACCATGCCCCTAACCTCTCCCGAATTGCATTCATCCAATCTTTTTCCTGCCTGCTAGAATTCTGCATTATTTTAAAGGACCCTAAATGTATCATATACCTCTATCTGGCACTGGGTTGTTGCTTTTACATCATTCTGATGACATTCACATAGGGAAGAATTTTAAGCTCGATTTAAATTTGAATATAATATTTGCTTATTTTACTTATCACTATAAGAAATAACTACAAAACAACAATTTACACTGATGCGACGGGAGTAAAAAAAAAAAACAGGTTATGTTAACTTTCATTACATCAGAACTCTCCTGTCTCGCCCGCTGCTCCCCTCAGCAGTGTGTTTCGGTCCGTCTGCCTGTTCTGCTCCCTGCTCTGTCTCTAGTGAATCCTCTCACCCTCCCACACATCTGACCTGTCCCCCAGCTCTTGTATGCATAAATAAATAAATTTTACAAAAAAAAATAAATTTTGTGGAAAATTTTAGGTGATTAAATTATTCAAAGTTACATACTATGTGTGTTAGAAATTTGAATGGAGATGTAATAGGATAAACTAGATATTGGCTTGTAATTAATAAAACTGCATTAAGCTAAATTAATTGACACATAATATTGTTTGTATTTATATATTATACATTTTATATAGAATTATAACATGAATTTAAAAAGTCAACTTTCTAAAATCAATTCTGGAGAAAGTTCTTTAAAATGAAGAAAATGGCATTTTTTTCTGGAAAAAAAGAAACTTAAAAATGATTTTTATTGATTTTACAGGTGGTACCATAGAAGCATTACCAGAAATCAGGCAGAACGTCTTTTGAGACAAGAGGTAATTCATATTGTACTTGAAGAAATCTGTGAAATATTCCCAAAATTTAAGAGAGACATAGTCTTTACCCAACTAAAAGGTTTTATTGGTTCCTGGTTTTTGTTTGTTTGTTCAAAATATTACAACTTCATCTCTACCACAGACTTTTTGTAAGTTGTAAACTGGATATATTTGTGAAAGGTGAAAGATTTACAAGATCTGAGGAGAAACCAGAGTATAAAACTAGATGTATTTCTTTCAGATTGTATTTTCCATTGATATGTATTGTAATTTTAGAAATATGTTTCTCCTGTAAAGACTTAAGCACCAATATACTGAAACTCCTTTAGATACTCCAAAATGCAGCCTTGGAGTTGCCCATATACCTTTGAAAGACCGTTCATCAAGAACACATCTATCCTTATAAACTTAGTTTAGACTCATTAAAAATACAAACATAGACGAATACAAGGAGCTACACTTTGTTCTTTGGGAACAAAGGGAAAAGCAGGGTGGCCAAAACACCAAAGTCAGATCAAAACTGCTCATATAGGTCAAAACCAACCAAAACTGCACATAGTTTAAATTTCCAGTAAATATTAACTGTGCATAAGAGTCAAAACTAGAAACTGAGTAAAGGTATATGTGCCTCAATGCGCTATTATCAGATGTTTAGGAAATTGAGAAATATGAATGAGAAATAATCAGTTCTGTGATGAAAAAGTCAGTTACATGTACTTTTAAAAATTACATTAATTTTTATTGAGGTGGCATTGGTTTACAACACGGTATATGCTGTGTATGATTTAGGGGTATAGATTCACACCTAAATGTGTATTTCCTTGTTCTAGTTAAATGAATAACTCTCCATGTATCAGTTGGCCAGTTGAGTTTCCTCTGCTCTTATATGCCTGCTAATATTATTTGCTGATTTTTTTATAGTGCTTGCTTTTTAAAAAAACTCATTAACATGTATTTTAAAATATATTCCAAAACTAATCTTTTGTCAGTTAGGTGTTACAACTATTTTCTGGTTTCTGCCTCTAGAAAACTTTACATTGCTTTTTCTTATTCAGAAATGAAAAAAAATTAATATCATATTTCTCAGTATTTTGCTTTATGAGCTCTGCTTTTTTTGTTTGTTGTTTCATATTGAATATTCTTCGCTTTCCTGAAGTGATAAAGGGACTTTTCCTTAAACTATTTTAAAGATTTGCTTTTCACATTTAGGTGTTTAATCTTTTTGAAATGTGTGTGTTTATGTGTGTGTGATATTTTAAAAAATACTTTTTCTATGTACCTTAAAATACTTTGTAATTTATGCATTTTCTAATTTTCACTTAAAAATATGCATGGGTTAAATCCTGCTTTGCCATGAGGCACTTGAAATATATATTGGTGGTTTGAATTTCCTAATATTTTACTTAGCCTGTTACATTCACAGGTGAGGCTGGCTTCTAATTTTCTGTTCTCTTTGTCTAGCTTAGTATAAAGCTTATACTAGCATCATAAAATGAGTTGGGGCCAGGGCTTTGTATCTTTTCCAATCTTTAGAATAGCTTATATTGGGTAGAAGTTATTTGTTCCTGGGAGGTTAAATATAGCTCTTGTAAAGTAGCCTGGACATGCTGCTTTTTCAAAAAGATAAAGATGTTTGACTACTGATTTAATTTCCTTTTCTTTCTGAGCTGTTTGATAATTTATTCTTAGCTGGAGAATTGCCTATTTTATATTTATTTTCAAATGTATTGGATAAAATATTCATAGGTGTATCTTAAAAGTTGATTTTTTTTTTAATATTTCAACACTCAGCATGTTTGTATGGTTCAGAATGAAAGGGTTTTGAAAAGTTTTCTTTCATTTTTTTTCAAGATTTATTTATTTATGCATATAAGAACTGGGGTACAGGCCAGAGCTGTGGGGGCTGAGAGGATTCACCAGAGACAGAGTGGGGAACAGAACAGGCAGATTGACCAAAGTACACTGCTGAGGGGAGCAGCAGGAGAGTCAGGAGAGGTCTGTTGCGCCATGTGGACTGCTCCCTGGCCGTCTGGGGATCAAACTCTGTTGGCTGGGGATCGAAATGGTGCTGCAGTGGCTGCGGACAGCTTCATAGGTTGCGTCCTAACTCCCTGTGCCACCAGGAGGCCCCACGTTTTCTTTCATTCTTGTCCCCAATTCATTGACTTCCATCCCCACAGGTAAGCTACTATGAGTTTATATTGTGACTTTTCAGAGATATTTAATACATACACAAGCAAGTACAAATATGTTTGTCGTGTTTTACTTTTTACACAACTGATAACACAAAATATACACTCCTGTGTATATAACCTTTTTCACTTAGTGCTATATAGTCTTTCCACACCACGCGCATAGTCTTTCCACATCAGTACAAGAAGTGTCCTAATTCATTTTACACCTGCATGCTATTTCTTACCTTGAATGTATAACAATTTATTTTATCAGTCCTTCACTATGGAAATTTAAGTAATATACACGTTTTCTATTAAAACAAGGCTGCCACAGGTAAACCTGGACTCACATCTTTTCCCCATTTATGTGAGTATATACACAGGCAGAATCCTCCAAAGTGGGGATTTGGGGTCAAAATACATTTCCCAGTTTTTCAATTGTCTTTTTTTTTTTTTTTGGCCATGAGTAATATTTGAATTTTATACATTTGAATTTATTTGACAAAGTTTTGTAAGGCTTTAGTTTGTCTCAGGATAAAATTGCCTTGCCCACCTCAAGGTTATGAAAATTTTTCCTGTGTTTCTTCACTATTTTAGTTTTTACACATACATGTTTGATACATTTGTCATTTTTCCTGAAGTAAAAAAATGAAGTATGGATCCAACTTCTTTTTCAGTCTTGATTTGAAATGCTAATTTTATCATAAGAACAATTCCAATGTGTTGGACTGCATCTGGATTTCTAATTGGCTTCATTGATTCCAGTGTTTATTCCTCTGCTCCCACTGAAGTGTTTTTAAATAATGAGGTATTGTCTGGTGTAGCTATCATTTCTCTTTTTTGTTGTTTTTCAGGAATATTCTGGATATATATTTTGTCTATATGAGTTTCAGAATTGCTTTGTCTAGTTTTGGAAAACTTCCTGTTGGTTGTATTAAATTTATATATTAGAGAAAATTGTGGACATTGCAAATCAGTGGGTTTTGGGGACCAGTTTTTTCCAGGCCTATGTATTGATTATTCGTATAGAAAAAAATATTATATTCCCATTTCAAACAAAAATAAAATGTTTTAGGATTTTTCAGGAGCATTTAAAATATATCTTCATTTTGCTCTTGCATATTTATCTTTAAGTTTATTTTAAGGTATTTTATCTTTTTATTGCTATTATGTGTGTGTTTATTTGGTTGTTTTTACATAAGAAAGCTCTTGATATCTGAATTAATTTTGTAACTGACATCTTTGGTGAATTCAAATATTTTTGTAGTAGTTTTTCAGCTAATTCTCTTGGGATTTATGTCTGTAATCACAGCAGCAGCAAACGGCGATGATTTCAACTCCTCAAAATTCTAACACAGTATTGCTAAATTTTGCCCCTCATTTAATTGTACTGGCTAGCAAACTTAGGACACTATTCAATACCAGTGCTGACAGCGGACATTTCTTTTTCCCTGATTTTAGTTGGAATGATTTCCACATGAAGTGTGATGTTAGACTTGGGACTAGAGTAAAGAAGTGCTATTGTATTCAGGAAGTGCACATACACTCCTATTTTGCCCAGAACCTTAAAAATATGATATTAGTAGTTGAAATTGGTTAATACCTTTCCAACATTTGTGGAGACAGTCATTGAATTTTTCTCCTCAGATATAACAGTATGATGAATTATATTAATAAAATCTTTAATATTTGCTTACTTTTGCATTTCTGTATGCAGTTCTTCCTGGCCATGGGGTTGTCACTTTTTGCTGTGCTGCTGGATATGGTTTCTTTCTTTCTTTTTTTAAAAATATTTATCTATTTATGCATACAAGAGCTGGGGTACAGGCCAGAGGTGCGGGGGTAGGATGAGAGGATTCACCAGAGTGGGGAACAGAACAGACAGATTGACGGAAGTACACTGCTGAGGGGAGCAGCGGGCGAGTCAGGAGAGGTCTGCTGCGCCATATGGGTTGCTCGCTGGCTGGACAGGAATTGAACTCATGCTGCAGTGGCTGTGGATAGCTTCATAGGTTGCGTCTAACCCTTGAGCCACCAGGGAGGCCCCTGGATTTGGTTTCTTAATATTTCTTTGGGGATTTTGCATTACAAGTGAAACTTAATAGTAGATTTCTCTTTTACACACAGTATTTGCTGTGTTGTTCATGTTGATGTTAAGCTTTGTATAACAATTTAGAAATTTTTCTTCTTTTTATATGTTCTGGAATCATTTAATCAGGCTACTGCTTCCTAAATTTAAGATTTGGTAACATCACAATATGTAACTGTGGCTGTTTTATTTTATCTGTTTAATAGTAGGTCCAGAAAGATTTCTAGTTCATCTGGAATCAATTTTGATAAATTTCATGTTTTCCTAATTGATTACCCATTTTGTTCAAGTTTTCAAATTTATTGTATAGAGTCAAGGAATTCTTTATTTTTCTGGATTCTCATGAAATTTTTTGATAGAGCCCCCCATTATTTATTGATTGACTTGATTGACAGTTTATCTATTGTATTGCTTTTCTCTAAATAACCAGGTTTGAATTTAATTGCTAGCTGTATTTTAAAAATTTTTATAATTTATTATTTTCTCTTCTGTGTTTATTAGTATCTTTCACCTCCTTACTTGAATTTTATAGGTCTTATCCTAACTTATTGAATTGGATATGCTTTTTGGATTTCTTTGTTTATTGATATAAACAATAAGGTTATGTATTTATTTCTAAGTACTTCTTGAACTGTATACTAGAAGTCCTAATGTGCAGAATTTCCTTATTATTTTCTAGATATTTTTAATTTTTATTTAAATTTCTTTGAGTTACATAAAAGAACTTAAAAATTTACAGATAGTAGGGCTTTTTTACTTTGGAATGTTTTAATTTCTGATTTTATTGCTTTGTGGTGAGGGAATGCTATTTGTACTGTTTCTACTTTGAAGCTTTAGAAGAAAGGATCACTACATTTACAACTTTATTATCTGCACATTCTATATACATATATGTATATAGAGGACATTCGCACATACCACGCCTACCACTTCATCTCTTGTATCTCGTGCCCCTGTGGTCTGTAATGCAATCCTTTGCACACAATCATAGCAGGAATTCAATAAAAGCTAGATATTTTCAGTTATAAGTGACTGGAGAATTTTTTGGTTCAAAAATTTGATAAAAAAATAGGCTTGGGCCTCCCCTGGTGGTGCAGCTGTTGAGCGCTGGGTTGCAAGGCTGCCCGCAGCCTCTGCAGCACGTTTGATCCCCGGACACTGGTGAAGGTCCCACCAAAAAAAAAAAAAGGCTTGTCTCTTGTATCTGAAAGAAGACTGCTTAGTGCAGTCCACGCACCTTGAGGTCAGGGTATGCCCTTTGGGGTGTGAGTTCTCAAATAACTATTAGCACTTCATAAGTGTGAGCTTTCATGGTTTGGCAAGATTCTGAGAAGTTCTCTTTTCACATCTGTAAACACTTTCAGCAGAAAGTTTTTATAATTATTATATCAAACTAACCACACAAAACAGCCAGCAGTCAAGATTATTTGAAAACAGTTAACAGCATTATGGTAGTTTTCCAAAGAATATCAATGGGAATCCAATTCATACATGATATTAAGCTTATTGTAATACTCATACTCCCAGCCACGTGTCTTTGTCTTTTTCCTACCCACAGAGCATCTATAGTGCTTCTCCTCACTCCTTCAGGCTTCTGCAAACCTATTCTCTCTCTACCTTTATCATGAACTTTGGTCTCTTTCCATCTCCCTCATCCTTCCTGTGATAGTTTCCTCTGCATCTCACCCGGCCAACTACCATGTTGTTTCTTTTCTGCCAAAGCACAAACCTATGTATCTCAGAGTTCTTTCTATTCATCAGGTATTATCTTCATCAATATAACAAAACTAACTAAATGGTGGGGTACCAGGTTATCAAATTACTGTAGTCTCAGGAACTGAAAATGTATGCTTGTTTCAATTTTTACTCACCCTTCTTTCTCTTTAAGGGCAAAGTTTTTAAATACTCATACATTATAAATTCCTTCCTTCCTTCCTTCCTTCCTTCCTTCCTTCCTTCCTTCCTTCCTTCCTTCCTTCCTTCCTCCTTCCTTCCTTCCTTCCTTCCTTCCTTCCTTCCTTCCTTCCTTCCTTCCTTCCTTCCTTCCTTCCTTCCTTCCTTCCTTCCTTCCTTCCTTCCTTCCTTTCCTTCTTGATTGGTTGATTGATTTATACAAGAACTGGGGTACAGGCCAGATTTGCAGGAGGGTGAGAGGATTCACCAGAGACAGAGTGGGGAACAGAACAGGCAGACTGACCGAAATACACTGCTGAGGGGAGCAGCAGGCAAGACAGGAGAGGTCTGCCGGGCCATGTGGGACCTTCGCCGGCTGGCGGGGATTGAACTGGCGCTGCAGAGGCTGTGGACAGCTTCACAGCACGGTGCTCAACCTCCTGCGCCACCAGGGGAGGCCCCCAATTATGTTATATTGATTTATTTATAGTTCATCTTATTTTATAGGTATGGCTTGTATGCCTAGAAGGGAGATGAAATTAGGTGTACTTTTTAATATTATCTCCTTTCCTAGGCAGTCACAATGTTGGTTTTCATTATTGAAATGTAGACGTGTCTATTTTAAACGTAAATAATGAATTAATTGTTTTACAGTCCAAAGAGGGTGCATTTATTGTCAGAGATTCAAGGCATTTGGGATCCTACACGATTTCTGTATTTATAAAAGCGAGGAGGTAAGCAATTATGATTTTGGTCATTTAGAAATAACAATACCTGGAAGTTTTTTTTTTACTTTATTTTATATATTTTTTACATCATTTTCCATTTTTGCACAATGTATGCTTTTTCATCTTGGTTATAGTCCCCATACGATTCCCACCTCCCTTATTTTGACCGTAATCGTCCTATCCCCTAACCCCGCCCCGCCCCCATGGTGTGTCTCTGGCTTATAGTTGCTTGTTGATTTTGATTTTTACTTTATTATAATTAGTCTTGGAACAGTTCTTTTTTGTGGCAGTCATCATGTAGAGATTGTTAGCAAGCTACCACAGGCAAAAGATAGCTGACCTGAACATTGGTACAAATAATAGGTTCAAGTTGTATTTTTAATAAGTTCTGTGTTTGTGTCACATTGGATAAATTCTTTAATGATCATCTCCTTTTCTCAAGCAGTAAGAAAGATAGATTTGTTACAGCAGACACTGTGGACTGTTCTCATAACCTTTTGTTGGCCCAAGTGTTGACCTGTAGAGAGTTCTCCTACACTTAAGAAGCTTCTTTCTGCTTGAGGGTCTTTTCTGGGTGAGGGCATTCATGCTTCACATAACTAATCCTATATTTGACTGGCAATTTTAAGAAGTATGAAATTATTGTAAGTAGTTATAGTCAATGAAATGTAGATTTTAAGTACTATTTCCTCTATTAATAAGGAAAGGAATAAGTTGGTAGATAAGTACCTCAGCTTCTTTGCACTTTGTCGGACACTTTTGAGGTGTGTTCCACAGTCTCTAGTAGCTTTCTAAAGGGATTGAGTTCCAGCTGCCCATAAGAGCAAGTTTGCTAATTTGCTCTATGTTGGTTTTTCCCTTGTCTTTGTCTCACATCATCTCACATCCTTCTCATAGTATATTTGGTCATTCACTTAACCAATTCTTGATATTCAGTAAATACTTATGTGTCCATTAATAGTTCTACTTTTTTGGACACCAGACTTGTCACCTAGAAAACTTTAGCGAAAATTATATTTGAATCTAAGAACCTAGTAATATAGCAGAGGAATTTTCCTGGAATAGTGAGGGACCTGTTTAATGCAGTTGCTTGTCAGTGTGTAATGTTGCTGGAATAAGAATTTTACTTTATTTTTATTTTTAATAATTTATTTATTTATGCATGTAAGAACTGGGATAAAGGCCAGAGGTGTGGGGGATTAGAGGATTCACCAGAGACAGAGTGGGGAACAGAATAGGTTGATTGACTGAAATACATTGCTGAGGGGAGCAGAAGGCAAGACAGGAGAGGTCTGCTGCGCCATGTGGGTCGCTCCCTGGCTGGGGATAGGACTCATGCTGCAGTGGCTGCGAATAGCTTCACAGTGCTGTGTCTTAACCCCTTGTGCCACCAGGGAGGCCCCTGAATAAGAATTTTAGAGGTGGAGTCCTGTTCCTTAATCAGTTGACTTAGTTCCAAAGTGATCTTTTGCTTGTTTATTAATTCACATTTGATTTATTGTAGTGCTATGGAAGCTACCATCAAACATTATCAGATTAAAAAGAATGACTCTGGACAGTGGTATGTGGCTGAAAAACACCTCTTTCCATCCATCCCTGAGCTGATCTGGTACCACCAGCACAATGCAGCTGGTAAGTGATGAACTTCAAGCCAGGGGTCAGAGCCCAGCTGTTGATAAGCAATGACCTTAGACACTCATCAGGAGCAAATATCCCTCTAAAAATGGTTTAAAAGCTTGAAATACAACCTGTCTTTGGGATCAATTATCTTCCTCATTGATGCTGCTTTGTTTTCCTAGGCGGGGGCAAAAGGTAAGTTGATTTTTTACTTTTTGGTCAGGTTAGGAAAGTGAGGGTGATTGAGAAAAAAAGGTCATTTAGTCATTATGCATTTATTCTTGAAATTTACAGTTTAAATGTAACAGGATTTCAAGTATCCTAAATAATGGTGCTTCCTTCTCTTTGCTCCCATAAATTTACATCTACTTTAGACAACTGGAGTAGGAAATTAACCTTAAATCTCTCAATTTCTGTTCTTCCTTGTTTGGAGAACAGAAAAAGTGACACAGGACACACAGTCTTTTATAGTTACAATCTGGCCTACATATACTACAGGCATATCCGCCCCCCCAACTCCCAGCTGTTATTAATAATAGCTGCTACTTGTACAAACCTATTCTCTATGAAAAGATACAGGTTTCCAGAAAGTTCCACCACAATTACAATCACAGCTCTGAACTTCATCTTCACCCAACTTACATTGGACCACTTTGAGTCCAACCACTTTGAGTCCAAGGGAGAAAATGCTCAACTCAATCTTCCAGAATTTGGGACCTGCTGTACTTTTCACATTGTTTTCACTTCTCATGCAGTACTTTTAAATCTTCTTCTCATGACAAGTTGTGTTGAGGAAAAAAAAAAATTCCTTTTGGTAAGTCACTACTTCTCCATCACATTGGTTCTAAATATCAGGAATACATCTAAAGACTTTTTAACCCACTTAAGAAATGAATGCAGGGGCCTCCCTGGTGGCGCAGCGGTTGAGCGCTGGGTTGCGAAGCTGCCCGCGGCCTCTGCGGCGCCAGTTCGATCCCTGGCTGCTCCCCGGCCACCGGAGGAGGGTCCCACATGGCGCGCAAACCTCTCCTGCCGCCCGCTGCTCCCCTCAGCAGTGTACTTCGGTCCTTCTGCCTGCTCTGCTCCCGCTCTGGCTCTGGTGAATTCTCTCACCCTCCCGCACTTCTGACTGTACCCAGAGCATGTATAAACAAAACAAACAAACAAATAAATAAATAAATAAAACATGCCTCTATTAAAAAAAAAAAAATTAAAAAAAAAAAGAAATGAATGCACATGGATATTGTAGGTGGTCACTGAGAGTGGTTAGAGGAAGTGGTGATGTGTATGGGTGCGGCTGGGGTGTACATATTTGCAACAAGAGATAGAAACCCCTTCAAATCAGAAGACTAGTTCTGAGTTTTCTCCTTCACACTCTTCTTACTCTTCCTTCAACAAAGAAAAAAAAAAAAACTTAAGAAACAGAGTGGTTATAGTGGTGAGACTAAAAAACATACCGAGGTAGATCAGGATGTGTTGACAAGAAAAGATGTCAGTGATAAGTTGTTTAGTTCAAAGAATAAAGTGCAAAGCAGTTTATAGTGCCACTTTTGAAAAAAAAAAAAAATGAATACATTCACACATATCAGTGTGCATAGCAAAACTGTTAAGTTTAGGTAATGATTTTTAAACTGATAACATTATAACAGACTACAATCTGTTAGTGTTTACCTCTAGGGAATGAGACTGTAGGTAAGGGGAACTTTTATTTTCTATTTCATATATTGCTATAAGGTTTGATTTCTATTTTCCTATAATGTACACAAATCTTACAATGTATAAAATATCATACAGATATCTTTTGGAAAAAAAACTGAGTCAAACAATAAAAAAAAAACAGATTCAAAACTTGTAATTGTGTCTTGTTGTTTATTAGAGAAAAAATAAATAGTAAAGAAATACAACACAGAAAAGAAGGATGGTAAGAGGAAAGACATGAGACCCCACTTGATTTTTATTGAAATCTTTCTTTGAGCCAGACCCTGTTCTTAGTGCTTTTCATGTTTATTTATTTATCTAAGCTCCAGAGCAACCTTATGAGGTCGTGCAGCTGATCTCTCCATCTTATGTATGAGGAAATAGGCATCAGATGTGAGATAACTTACTCAAGACAGAGCAATAGATAAGAATCTCTTATGGTTGAGATTTGAACCCACAGAACCCTTTGAAACCTTAGGAGCCATTGAACCTCTGGCTCAAGATTCTCCTCCAGAAAGAGGCACATCATGTAACTGGAGGGATTTTTTGGAGGGTCCCATTTTCGAAGAGTTTGTCAGCTATCTTGTTGACTTTTTGATCATTGGTCAATTTAGCTCATGACAATCCACCAAATAAATTCACCAAATAAAAAGTGTTCACTGGATAAAAATATTTGACAAACAAAAAAAGTTCACTGGATAAAAATATTTGACAAACAAAAACTTTGAAGTTAGAGGAAAGTGTTAGGGTCTTAGGGAAATTCCTTTTTAATGTTCTTTGTTTTGATCACGTGTTACAGAGATTCAGATGAGAGCACTAATATACTAGGTCTTCAGAATTATTAGTAAATATCTTCTGTTCTCTGCTCACATTTTCACCATTGTCTTGAAGACTCCTCAATCTTGTCTTTCTGTTAAGGTAGCTCATGCCTGCTGGCACAAATCTTAATTAAGCAAACGGCTAGGTGATTTACTGATAGGGCAGTAGGTAATAATTGGAAAGGAGTTTTGAAGAGAAGGGTGAAAATTTGAACAGAGAATAGGAGTGGTGAGGCCAAGCCTGTGCCCTGTTTCCAGAACTCCTCTCCCATGGAGAGCAGCCATTTTCCACTCCTTTTTATCCTGTGTCTCTTCCATTTCTTCTGACCTTCCTTCAGCCTGAAAACAGTCTTAAGACTTTCATATTAAAAAAAACAATACTGTTATTGGTCTTTTCTTCCTTTAGGTGTTGTTCTTTTAATCACACTTTTGGAAAAATGTATCCAAATTCGTATCCCCACTTGCTCATTTTTCTTGCTTTTTGAGCATCCACGATTTGCCTTCTGACTCCAATACCCTATGTTTTTACCATCGGCTTGTAATGGGCTGTTTTGTAGTCCCCATATTTTCAAGTTTCCTCTGCTGCATTTGACAGTGTCACTCTTTGACTATCCCTGCTCCTTAACTGTCATAACACTACCCATTCTCGGTCTTTTCTAATTTAAATCATTCCTTATGGGTCTTCTCTATGGGTCCTGTCTACCTGCACCTTAAACAATGGTGTTCTGCAGGGAACCATCTTTAATCCCTTTCCTTCTCATCCAAACTTTCTCTTTGCATAACTCTGCCTGATAAACACAGGTACTTGCATCACCATGGGTCCTGAACTTCAATGATAAAATGAAACTCTTCACCTTTACCGCCATTCTATAGAAACTATATTTTATATATTGAACTTTGCCCTCCTCATCATCTGCTTTATTTAATATATGCTTGTACTTATTTATGTTCTTTTACCCCCACTGGAATGTAAACTCTTTGAGAGCAGGATCGATCGCCACCTTGTTTACTGCTATCTCCTAGCATCTAGATGGTGCATGGAACATACCAGACCCTCAATAAATATTAGTCAAAGAAATAAATAATGAATTTTGTTGAGTTAAATTGAAATCAAACATAAAATATTGCATGTTAATCCAATCCAAAGAAGTTTCATTTACTCTACCACACTGTTTTATTTTGTTTGTTCGTTTGTTCATTTTAAATGAGCTACTCTCAAGGGTAGGGCACTGAAATAAGCATATTTAAGCATTATTGCTGGCAAATGAACTAATTCCACTTTTCTAGATTTCTTTTGATCAAGAAATCACATTTTAAGGAATTTATTCTAAGGAACTTACTAGAATTTGAGAGGTACATACAAGTGCATGTTCAAAAATCAAAACAAATTTTATAATTGTGAAATCTTTGGAATAGCTTTAAGGTCTTTTTATAGCCACTGACATACATTACATGTTGAGTGTAAAAAACTAATAGCAAACACTTATAATTCTGTGAAATATGTTGGATGTATATGTATTTCTAAATATGCATATAGGGACATTTGCTAAGATTGTCACCAAAATGTTAACAATGTATCCCTGGATGTTAAGATTTTGTGAGGAATCTTTATTTCATCTTTATATTTTCGTGTACTCTTTATTTTTATTCACTGAACATGTATGATTTATGAAGAATGTGTTCCAAATGAGAAAGCTAAGCAAACAAATGTAACTTATTAAAGAATGTTATTAATCTAGTATAGTTGGTGTTTTCTTTTTTATTAGTAACTGGTCTAGAAATGCTGATTTTTCTTTCTCCCTAGGTCTCTTGACCCGTCTGCGCTATCCAGTTGGGTTGATGGGCACTTGTTTGCCAGCCACAGCTGGTTTTAGCTATGGTAAAGTATGCAAACATGCTCAAGTAAAATACCTAGTAAAGAATCTACTCCAAATTCCTGATATTTTTTTAAATTCTGACACTTCTGAGTTGTATATGTAGTTATGTTTCTTCTCAAAATTTAAATTGGGGCCTCCCCTAGTTGTGCAGGCGGTTGTGAAGCTGTGCGCAGCCTCTGCAGCGCCTGTTTGTTCCCAGCCAGCCAGGGAGGGTCCCGCATGGGGTGGCAGACCTCTCCTATCTCGCCCGCTGCTCCCCTCAGCAGTGTATTTCGTCAGTCTGCCTGTTCTGTTCCCCGCTCTGTCTCTGGTGAATCCTCTCACCCTCCCGCTTATCTGGCCTGTACCCTGGTTCTTGTATAATTAATTAATTAATTAATTAAAAAGATTAAAAAAATTAAATTGCTCTTTGAAAATATTTAAACATATGCATCTCATAAGGGCAATTTAAACTTTATAACCCTTTCAATGCATTATTCTAAATTTCCACCAGATGGTGGTATTGCTATATAAAAGGAGATACTATTGAGTCCCCCTTAAGTTTTCAAGAGTTATTTTAAAAACAGTTTTTTGATTTTTTGCTGTGGAATGAGAAATACACAGTAATGCATATTTTACTTCAAACACTTAGATAAATATGGTTTCGAGTCCTGGACTATTTGTTAGATGAATTGATTAGACTGTTTCTTAAGGGATAGACACCAAGTTAAAAAAAAAAAAAACCCTCTGAGGGGCCTCCCTGGTGGCGCATGGGGTTAAGACACAACCTATGAAAGTGTCCACAGCCTCTGCAGCACGAGTTCCACCACCTGGCCGGCCAGGGAGCAACCCACATGGCACAGCATACCTCTCCTCACTTGTCTGCTGCTTCCCTCAGCAGTATACTGCTGTCAATATGTCTGCTCTGTTCCCCACTCTGTCTCTGGTGAATCCTCTCACCCCCCACACCTCTGGCCTGTAACCCAGCTCTTGTATGCATAAATAAATAAATCTTTGGGAAAAAAAACCCTCTGGGGATAGAAATGAGCAAAGGGACACCAGAGGGAACTGAAATGGAGAGGGAAGTCAAGTCTAAGTTCATGAGTTTACTTACTAGGGCAAAAACAAGCAGTGGATATGAATAATTTAGGTCCCAGGTCTGGTTTTGGTAGATAGAAAGGCAGAAATATGTTTTATTTGGGGTCTCTCTAGAAAAAGAAAGTATGTTTTCACATTTGTAATTCCTCTCCAAGCAAATAAAGTTCGCATTTCTAAACTTGAATTCTATGTTTAAATCACAATGAAAATTTGTTTTATTTATTTTTTTAATTTGGAAGAACTTTTTTAATTAAAATTTTTTTTATTGAGGTAACATAGGTTTACAATATTGTATATGATTCAGAGGTACAGGATCACACCTCTTTAGATGTATGTCACCATGCCACATCCACCAGCAAGGCACTCATAGTTCTCTACCATAGTCCATACAATAAAAGTCTTAAAAATAATTAGGTCCCCTTTACTCATTTATCAATTTTTTACTTTCTCTGTATAAGAACATAATAGATCTGGATAATTTCAAAATCTTTTCTAGCTCTAAAATTTTAACATGTTTTCCCTACTTATAACATGCATGTTTTGCTTTTTCAGAAAAGTGGAAGATAGATCCATCTGAATTGACTTTTGTAAAGGAAATTGGAAGTGGTCAGTTTGGAGTGGTCCACTTGGGTGAATGGCGAACACACATCCAGGTGGCTATCAAGGCCATCCATGAAGGCTCCATGTCTGAAGAGGACTTTATTGAAGAGGCTAAAGTGATGATGTAAGTATAAACAATATCAGATAACTATTGGGCAACATCCTGGTGTCATGGAATGAACATGGATTTTGGAGTCAACCACACCTGAATTAGTGTCACAACTCTTTGCATGCTAGTTGTATGCCCTGAGAAAATTATTTGACCTTTCTGTGACCTGGGTGAGTCGTTTTGCTTTTTTTTTTTTCATTTTTCATTTCTAAACCTCAATTTCCTTACCTCTAAAATGGTGATAACAATACCCATCTCACTGGATCACTGAGTGAATTAAATAAGATTATCTATGCAAGTACATTGTGTTCTTTTTCAGCTCAGTAATAGGTACTTAACAAGTGTATGTTTTCCCCCCACCCCTTTTCCTGGAAACAAAAATGTTGATGTTGTCTAAATAGTAATACAAAGCATTTGCTTTCAGAGAATTTAAGAATTCTGAGTGCTGGTGGCTCTTTGTAGACTACAGGTTGCAGCTCATAACTCCTGTGATTTCTCAGGTCAACGTTTTCACTGAGCTGAACCCATGGCTGTGGCCTACCTCTGAGATTTGAATTGGACCAAGACAGCCAATTATTGACACAATTCAAATCAGTGTTTTAAAAATATTTGTTCAACATTTACTTAGATACACGAATGTGACCAAGTGATCAGGTAATTACATGGTGGTCATCAGAAATGACATTTGAAACTGAAACATGATGTAACCACCTTGGCAAAGACGATAATCAGAAGAAGACAAGAAGCCTGCAGAGTCTGAAAATATTTTAAAAACAAATTTTAATATACCTTACATATTTGTCCTACAGTGAATCATAAATATTTTTTCTAAAATCAGGAAAAATGTGTATTAATCAGTACTAAGTTACAGCAAACAAGAATGTATGTGCTTCTTCACTTGCATCTTTCTACCTTATATTTGTCTCATTAGACTAAATCAAACATGAGGGATAACATTCATTTTTGCCTTATTCTTGATAGGGACTCTTTTTTTTTGGATAGTTTTTTTGCCAATGATCTTGCTGAGCAAATGCATATTATGTTTCGGTTCTCAGATGCTTACACATGGGCATGAAATTGGTGGGGTTTTTAAGACAAATTAGTATTCCATTTTAAGAATTGGTATCCTGCCATTATTCTACATTGGTGTAAGCTACATCCCTTAACTGAATGTGCACTTTATGAATCTGAAAGACAAACCAGATGAAACATATATATATATTTACAAATTTAAAAAAAATCATATTTGGAGTCTCTGAAGGTCTCTTTCTCACTAACTGAAGAGTTTTCTCATGGTACCTATATGATAATGTACCAGTTAATCATTCATAGACATTGTTTTAAGGTAAATGATTTGAGTCATCTATTTCATTTTATTTTATGAATGAAAAGAGGTAATATTTCAAGGTACTCTTGAATAATAGAGAATTAGCTTACTATATACATTCTCAAATTAGAAAGTTATTTAAATAGTTTTCATATTCAAATTGACTATGGGCATAAAAGGCCTTGAGGAACTGAATGCTATACTCCACAGAAAATAGGTCTGTATGATCAAAAAATTCTGTTGATAGTTTAACAGGCACTCATCAAGGACTTGTGTGTGTGCTTCTTAACTCAGAGCAGGGTTTCATGTTGGTAAATGTTCTTTAGTCTCCAACTTTACCTAACAAATTAATTTCAATGATTTTATTCTTTAGAATTTGATCTTTTAAAATATGCACCTATCACTTTTTCTTCCCTCTTGAATGTCCAGGAATTTTTGTCTGAGCAACTGCAATGAGGAAGGCAGAAAATCGAGGAACAGGAAATCTGTTAAGGGGTAGCATTAATGAGGAAGTAAGGGGCTTACGAAATGGAAAGGAGAAAAATAGCATAGGAAACCCTTAATTTTCTGTTTCTACCATGATTTAGGAAGTACTGCTTGAACTCTTGACCCCACATTCTTGGTGCATAAAGTGGAAAGGAAACTGCCTCCACTTTCTCTGTGGTTGGGTTAATTCTGATTATATCTTAAGGGTGAAAATTGTATAAAGATGGTAAATATCAGTTGAGGACAAAACTTCAAAATATGAAAAATGTGTTCATTGGTGTATGTGTTTTTTCTGTGTTTTTCAACAGGAAATTATCTCATTCAAGGCTAGTTCAGCTTTATGGAGTATGTATACAGCGGAAACCTCTTTACATTGTGACAGAGTATATGGAAAATGGCTGCCTGCTTGACTACCTCAGAGAGAGAAAAGGGAAGCTTAGAAAGGAAGTGCTACTGAGCATGTGCCAAGATATATGTGAAGGAATGGAGTATCTGGAGAGAAACTGCTTTATTCATAGGGATTTAGTAAGTATGGTGTAAATTTTCTGATTATATATTATACATGACAACTTAGGGCTTTCAATACTTTGAATAGTATATTCTTTGGATTAATTTTTAAATATTTTACCATTCATGTAATTTATTATGAAGCATAACTTTGTTTTTAATTGCCCAATGATGTTGTTATCAAGTAAGATTTTACTATAAATATGCCTTGAACTAATTAACCACCACAGTAATCAACTAACTACAGCTAATTTACTTTTCTTCTTGTTTTCCTTGTCCTTTATCTTCCTGCTTCTTCTCTTCCTTCCACCTTTATTCCTTTCAACTAATAATCAGATATGTATTGAGTGCCTAGTATATACCAAGCATTGAAGATAAAACAGTAAAGAACAAGCCCCAGGTGTTCTTACCCTTGAGTAAAACTGCCCCCAAGTGGATGTAGCCTGGTTTTGATATTGTTCCCAACAGCATCACTAACATTATTGAGGAGGACTAGAAATGCTAAATCTATCTGTGCTGTCTTGTTCAGAACAGTCCTGCACACATACAAATTGAAGTTTATCTTGCCCTAGATGTGAATAGCTTTGCTACCTCTCCTTGAAAAGCATTTTCTGATTACTCCATAGTAGTTCATGATATTCATACTATTCCTTCCATGTTTTAGTCCAAAAATTAACTCCAAAGAGAAATCTCACCTGTTTCTTACTTGTGTGCTCAAGCTCGTTAAATAGTGAAGTGGTATTAATATTATTTGTATGACTAAATAACCACCACTTCTCCCAATATTGAGCCCCTCTCTTTCTTTCCCACCTTCCCTCCCTCTGCATGGCATCATTTCCACCTCCAGCTCCCGTTCTTAGGTTTCTAGTCTCTGCAAGTTTGTATTTACTGAGAAGGATCAGAATTCAAAACTGGGTTGGGTCACAGTTCTGTTCATTCTTTTTTCTCCAGGGTTTCTCACAAATAGTCCTGTCCTTGCTTTTTGACTTGATCTTTTTTCTGTGCTCTGTTTCATCCACCTACATGCCACTTAAAATGTATCAGCTGACAATGATTCTTTTCTCTATCAAGGACTGGCTTTGTAGTTTGGTGTTGAGATCGTTGTTGGCGCTCGTCAACATCTTCCCAGCAGACACCTACTGGTTCTTTATTTCAAGTTTCTTGCTTTTGTGTTTGGATTAATTGAGTACAAGTTTTTCAGCAGAGATTAGCAGAAAGGAGAAAAATTCTATCAAACCATTGACTTACGTCTGCTAAATAACCCATTCAACAATTTTCTTGACTAACAGAATGAATTGTTTAGCATCAAATAGATTGTTTTTGCGTTACCTAGTCCTATATTAAGTGCAGTGTGGCCATTTAAGGCATGAAATTATCATTGCCAATGATAATAGTTACAGTCAAGTGAAATGTAGATTTTTAAATACAATTTCTTAACTTTTACTTGCAATTATAGACCCTAAAGATATGTATTGATTTGTTATTTATATTGGACTTTATATTTATTTATTAAGATAAATTTAAAAATACACACTTGGGTGGGAGAACCGGAAAGATAAGTAATATTGTTACAGGGCAGGGAGAGGGGCACCCCAGACCCCGCAAACCTGCCTGCTCTGAATAGGTTCTGCCATCCACCACTTCAACACAAAACATATGTGACTTTAATGAAAAAGAACTTTAATACAATTAGTAAACAATACAGGAAAGGCAAAGAATATAGTTTCTAAATCAAGCAGCCAAAGTTACCCGTCCCCTCATGGGTAAAAGTCCACCCAAGCAAGATTGGCCCAGAACAAGGCCCAAAAGCCTGCCACAAGTCTAAAGCATCTTCCCGTGGGTATCCACAGAAAAGGATCAGAAACAAATGGATAAGTTTGGGGGAAAAGAGCAAAATCAAAACCAAAATAAAAGCTGCCATTGTTACCTCCCCAAAGGTCTCTCACCCACATCTGTGTCACCCAGTTCAGGACCAAAAGGCAAGCGCAATTTCTTCACGTGTCTCTCGGCTCCATGTGCCTCCTCCAGGTCTCCTTCTTGCTCTCCATCCTGTCTCCTTCCTTCCTCTGTCCCTTCAGCAGCTTCTTCTTCTTCCTGCTCAGCTTCACCCTCCCTTGGGTGGGGCAGGAAACCTGGACCCGCCCCCTTTCCTGGGGACCACCCTGTTACAATATAACTTCATTTATATAAAATTTCTACATAGGTGCAAATGATAAATGCTATATTGAGTTAATTGAATGGAATAATGAGAGTAGCTCTCACAAATTCTCTGTTCTATTAGCAGTTAAAGCAGGAAGAATTTCAGTTTACAGGCGTTAAAGAGTTTGAGTTTGTGGCCTCCTTGTACTTCAATTCACCCCTGAAAGTTCATTTTAAAAATTAACTTAAAAGTATTTAGGTTACAAATTCATAGCCTGGAATTAGTTATTAGATCATTGAAAACATCTGCTTCTTAAAGAAATTTGCTTGTTCTGGATAATTTGCACATGTGAGTTAGAGAAAAGAAAATTCCTGCCCTTCTTAAAATAACCTTCAGAGCAGATAGTGTGTTACATCATGAAATTTTAAATAGAATTACACAAAATGAATAATTAAAGTAATAAGCCTAAAAAATTGCAATTTAAGAAAATGGAATCTAGAATGCAAGTTATTGTAACATGGTTACTGTCAGGTTTTTAGTCTCTACAACCTAATTTGACTGAAGATATTTTTAGATTTTCTGTTTTTAATCATCTCCTAGAATGTTAAACTGGACAGTTAAACTTTTTTTCTCCATCTCAGTGGAGAGCTACTAGGTGAATCATCCAACTTATTGAATTTCAGACACTTTATTTCTTAACTATTTCAGCCATTATTGAAAATGACCATTTATACTTGCACGAGTGCAGGTAGACAGGATGCAGGAAGCTGGCTTTGTGGATGTGTTATTCTGGGGGGGGGAAATGCACATTATTTTTTATGCCAACGTTCATAGCTTATCATCTCTTAGATTCTATTTATCAAGGATACTTTTTGAGAACAATTAAGAATTTTATGAGGTATGAAGCTATAAACCACATTTTTATTAAAAAATAATATAAACACAAAATTTAAGTGTTAAAATTTCTTCCATGTTCTCTTATTTCTTTGAAAAATCATTAAAATTAATCATGTGGGGGGAACTATATTGAATCAACCTAGCATTGACAGATATAATCATAAAAATAATACGTTTGCCTACATAAAGAGTAGTGTAAGGACTCAAATAAACTAAGAAAAAGGAGAACTGAAACCCTTTAAAAAAGTTTGTATTCAAACTTGAATTCTTTTCTTCTTTCTATAGGCAGCAAGGAATTGTTTGGTCAGCTCTACAAGTATAGTAAAAATTTCGGACTTTGGAATGGCAAGGTACATGATATATTGTTTTGTTCATTCATAAAAGGGAGTCTTACTCTTGTCGACAAACTGAAAATGTCATTGGCTCTGGCTGTTTTCAAGGTGCTGACCACCTTGATTTTTATGACATGCACCCATTTTTAACTGTGAGGTAAACAGACATTGTGGACTGTTCTTCTATGGAGTGCCTTAAAAAGAATTTCTCATCCTACTCATTATATGTATAATGTTAAGAAAAGAGTTTTCCTGTTACAATTTGCTCAGCTCTGATTTTTCTGTCACCATCATACATTTCTATCATCAAATGTAGGAGCTAACTTTAAATCTACCACTCAATGGAAAAGAAAAAAAATGGGGAAAAAAAGAAAAAGAAAAGAAAAAATGGAAAAAAAAGTAACTATAATAAAGTAAAAATCAAAATCAACAGACAACTATAAACCAGAGACATTCTGTGGAGGGGGGAGAAGGAAGTAGGATCAAAACAGGGGTGGGAAGAGCAGAAGGGACCATGGCAAATGTTCACAGGTGAATGGGTGGTGGGAATTTCACGGGGACTATAACCAAGATGAAAATGCATATATTATACAAAAATGAAAAATGATGTAAAAATATATAAAATAAAATAATAATTAAAAAATAAATCTACCACTCAACAGAAAGGAAAAAAGTGAAGTACAGAGAAGTATCGATAAATAATTCAAAAATAAATTTAAAATCCTTTACTATATACTCAAGGGAAAACATAGCACAAGTTAGTTATTATGTCCCCTATAGATGACCACACTTGGATATTCCTGCATACAGTTCTCAAAAACAGAAAGTTAAATTTTTTGTTGTTAGTTTTTTAAAGGTGATGGTAATTAGTCTCCTAGGATGTCTTGCCATAGAGAATCATTCTAATGCATTAGATATTTTTCACATCAAATGTATGATGTTCAGATATTTTTATTCCCTCCCAAGTCTCTGACAAAAAATTCGTATAAAGAAAATAAGACATTCAAACTTGAATTTACTCTTTTTCATATATTTATCTTTTTTCCTAAAGATTTATTTATGCATCAAAAAACTCGGGTACAAGCCGGAGTAGTCGGGGGGTGACAGGATTTATCAGAGACAGAGTGGGGAGCAGAACAGGCAGACTGACTGAAACACACTACTGAGGGGAGCAGCGGGTGAGTCAGGAGATGTCTGCTGTGCCATTGTGTGTTGCTCCCTGGCCAGCTGGGGATTGAACTCTTGCTGTAGTGGCTGCCAATTGCTTGATAGCACTGTCTTTAACCCCTGTGCCACCAGGGAGGCCCCTCATATATTTATCTTTTATTTATTTCTTATAACTTTGGTTGTTAGAGCATTTAGCATGCTTCTTGCAGAATTAAATACTTATCATAACTAATGTATTCAGTGAGGTATGTTTTGGACTGAAGAATTGCTATGGTTTTCTGGACCCTATAATAAAATGAACACATGTGAGGCTTGGTTTGGGAAGGAAACACTATTAGGAATGCTTTCTCATTTTAACAAGAGGAGAATGCATACAGAGGAGAACGTAGAAAGGTATACGTATACCTTGTGGATAAAATACTTTATCTTCTAGAACTCAGAGTGAACAAAAAGGATTTGAAATGAACAGAATTTGGAAGTAACACAATGTGTTTTGAAATAACAACCTTAGGTATGTTTTGGATGATGAATATATCAGTTCTTCTGGAGCCAAGTTCCCAGTCAAGTGGTCCCCACCTGAAGTTTTCCATTTCAACAAGTTCAGCAGCAAATCTGATGTCTGGTCATTCGGTGAGTAAATTTGGTGTTCATTTCATGGGACTTGATTTAATGAAATAGACCAATATTTTCTTTAACATGGATTTCTTCATATGATGTAACATTTTTAAAGTCATATAACCAGACTCCTGTTGTAAGTGTTGTGAACACATCCAAGCTGACTTTGGCTGTTGGTATTATGGACCTTCTTTAGTAAGTTGCCTCGTGGATGCTTTCCTTTCCCATTAAACACTTGCTGTAAAACCACAACGAAGAGTCTGTGCATCTAGAAAACAAACTTAATCAACTTTCCCAAACCACAGGACCTGGCAAGGAAATTGATCTTCCGGCATCTTTGAATTTTGTGTTTCAAATACACCTCACTGTCTAACTACTAAAGGGCACTGCCTCATCTACTCCATTACTCTCAAATTTTGTGGAGTTTAGACATTAGCCTTCTTGGGATGTATCTATTGATGCATCAAATTAAACAATGTTTTTCACTGGGAAAGAGACACTATAACCAATGTATAATGGTTTGTTTTTTGAGTTAACTTTCAAACAATGGCAATAATCTATGTAGGTAGAAAAATCTGTCTAGTCTCACCCAGACCTCCTGGATCACTTATGGGGTTTTAAGAGACATCTGGGCCCTCAGAAGGGTGTACATGTTTGTAGGGGCAGGATGGGCACAGAGCAGGATATCTAGGATCCCAGCAGACTGAGTAAAGGAGAGTCCTGGAGCCCTCAGTAGTTTTCTCAGGCTTTTATTGAGCTTTACATGCATCGCCGCAACCAGGTACAAGGCAGGCAGGGGTACCAGGGGGCCAGGAGGCCGGCAGGCCTCCAAGCTCCCGGCAGGTCTTCACTCTGGGTTTCTCTGGCTTCTTTCGCCCCTTCTCTCTCCTGCCTCTCTCCTGCTTCTGCTTCTCTTGGTGGCTATCTTCATACTCCTCCCATGGCCCACAGAAGTAAACAAGACAGCTTACAACAATGTACAAACTGCAGGTGTCCCATCAAGCAGGGCAATCCTAATGGTGGGAGGGCAGAAAAGCTGAAAACCATTTACCTTACAATGTTCTTGTCTATAATAAGACTAAGACTGTATTTTTTTAATCTCATAACTCTCTATGGAAAACAGTTAAGTCATGAGACCATAGGTAGCAACACAAACACCTTATGACGTGGTTGTAGAACAATGAGGATGCCTTATATTTTACTGGCTACTTAACTCTTTTCCCCACTGGACAGTGAGCTTTTAAGCACATGGACTGGTCTCATGCTCAACAATTCTGACTCTGGCATAGATCTGGCCTCTATGTATCAACACCTGATACATATTTGTATGCATATGTATCAACACCTGATACATATTTGTAAAGGAAGTGTATAGATGAACACAAATTGGAGACTTTGAAGGAATTTCACCAATCAATTAATCAATCAATGATTACTGAATACCTGCTTATGGACAGACTCCCTGCAGGATATCATGGGGCTCTACAAGCTGTCTAATCAGCCAGTGGGAGGAGAGGAATGCATGCCATCTACTGACTAGTAAATGCTTGGCCTTTGCAGGAAGCACAGGCTTATACTTCTGCCATTTTCTTTGGAATGGCATAGAAGGGTTCTTTGATTTCAGGGTGTGGGGACATGAGCAGTACTTAGGAATGAAGATGCTGCCTAGTATTTTCTTCCAACAGGGAGGCTATCAAGAACACTGGAAAAGGAAAGACATTGTTTTTACTTGGACTTTTTCATATTACCAGCCTGTTGAAAAGATCTGCTTCCTAGATAGAACTCTTTTTATTCTGGATGATTATAATGCAAAGGATGGGGGAGGAAAACAATGCCTTGTAGTTTGAAATACTGCTTTCACTTCCAAGGTAACCATTCCTCTCCAACTTCTTGTTTTCATGCATTTTATTTGCAGGAGTTTTGATGTGGGAAATTTTTACAGAAGGAAAAATGCCTTTTGAAAATAAGTCAAATTTGCAAGTTGTAGAAGCCATTTCTAAAGGCTTCAGGTTGTACCACCCTCGCCTGGCACCAGTGTCCATCTACAAAGTCATGTACAGCTGCTGGCATGAGGTAAGTATCCTTTCCTTTCTTGTGAAAGTTGACAGTCCCAGCATCGGAGTGCAGACCTGGTTATCACAAACATTATCCCAGGATCCCATCATGGCAAGAAAGTGTCTGTTTCGCTGTAATGGTCCCGGAGAGACACAAGTATTTCTTCTATCTGAAATCCCACTATAAAGTCATTAATCCATTTGTTTGTACCCTCCATTGCCGTTCTTCCTCACCCCACACATATCTTGCCATCAAATTGATCTCTAGGGTAGTGCTGTAGAACTTTAGTGATAATGGAAAGTGCTCTATCTGTACTGTCCAATTTAATAGCCAAGCCTGGCACTGAAGACTTGAAAAGTGGCTTGTGTGAGTGAGAACTGAAGTTAAACACTTACTTAGTTTTAATTAAAGTAGCCATATGTGTCCAGTGTTTATACCTTTAGCAATTTTATTTTGCAGTGGTCTCCACACTTACATTTCACACTCATGCCTCACTCAGCTGCTACTCAGTCCTGTGTGTCAGCTAGAATAGCATTCTTCTGTTTGTAGACAACCAGCCTAGTCCCAGATCCCTGCCAGCAGGTTCCAGAGCTGGTGTGTGAGTGGTCCTTAAGCTGAGCTGATCACTTGCTCTTCTCTTTTCCAGAAACCAGAAGGCCGCCCTACATTTGCTGAGCTGCTGCACGTACTCACAGAGTTTGCAGAAACCTGGTGACCAATGGGAATACCAACCCAGAAGATCATCATGCAAAACTGTCACAAAAGGAGATCCCTGTTGGGGTCACTGGTGGTGAATATCTTTCTCTAAAGCGGCTGATTCCTGGAAACAGTGTAAAGATCAAAGACTTTTCAAATTTCTTAAAATTTAAGAATATTCTGACAATAATATTTTTCTACATGTGTGTTGGAGAGGGAGTAATAAACTCTTATTTTTCTGCAATGTTCTTCCTAGTCCCTGTGTGCAGAAGGGGAAAAGGCTCTGCAGCAGCCTTCATGTGGCTCTTCAGAAGAATGGCCTGCAGAGTCCCTACAGGAACCTTTGAAGCCTTTATAGGGCTGAGGACATTTCTTTCCTACAGTGGAATGACATGCTTTACTTCAGTTATGCAAGCACAGAAAATGAAAACAAATACTTCTAACTTATGGAATATAGGCCTTCCCTGCCCAATTTCTTGCTTTTGAGCCAAATCGATTTTTTACAAGAATATATGACTTTACAAAACACATGCATGTGAGCATTCTGGAATGATCTTTTATAATCACCCCTGGTATTTAACAAATTGTTTTTGTACACATATCTAATTATTTTTGAGACAGTTCCTTGTGTTCTGATTTAAACACTGATATAAGAGGTCCTGGTGACATTTCTATCTCTAGTAATAGCCATTGTCAGAAGTAATTCAGAACTGAATTTCAATTCTGAGGTTTCATGCTTTGCACATGTGAAATTGGACAATTTAAGAATCCTCATTTTGCTTGGAAAGTACCTCCCATACCTATCTGGAATATGACTTTATTTTTTCCACAAATCCAAGATAGCAGATTATTATATCAAGTTCTACTATTTCTGAAGGCCAGTGTTTTTAATTCAAAATGAAATAATGAGTAATAGTAATTAAATCTTCATTTTCCTGGCACCATTTGTAGGAATAATTGGAAATAGGTCTTTATCATTCTATGGGCATCAGAAATTGCCATCAGAAGAAGTGTGCTGTAGAAAGCCTGTGTCATTACAAACCCATTACATTAATGGTTATAAGAACAGGAACCCATTATTTATATATATTGTCCCATCCTGCATTGTGACTGTGGAGGAAGATGTTCTATGATCCTCATTAGATTCTAAGTTGTGTTAGTAGCTCTGACTTTTAAATCATATTTCCTCATTTCAAGAATGATGTCTTTGAATATCAGCAATACTCAAGAAATACGCATAATATTGAGCATATAATGAGCATCAGGCACAAGAATTTTCAACCTTCACAGTTTAGGAAGTAGTCTTAGAAATATTTATATGATGCCAGGTTGTTTCTGAGGCTATCACATCCCTTTATTCATGACCTTTGCTGTGGTGTGGTGAGACAAACCTCCTACTACCGATTTCTTAGCTCAAGTAAGACATATGAAAGTCTAGTTTATGAGATTATGAGACTATTAAACAACAAAAGCTGAGGGAGGGGAGATTGATGTTATGACATAGGAAATAATGTAGTACCAATATAGACAGTAAGGTGTCTTCCTCAGGTTTTACTAAATTCAAAGTCTCCATTTTCTCCCCAAAAGGGGCAAAAAAGGCAAACACTGCAAAGCTAGGATCATCATAGAGCATCTGCCATCACTATTGAATTGATGCAATGCAGGAAGATCAACTACATAGCACAGAGTGACATGCAGAGATAAGTTATTCCTGGAAGTCATATGACAGCAGCTGGCATTTGAAAGGGATATATTGGTGGTGCTAGGCAAGCTCTATTCTTTTTCTTTTAATGTTTCAGGAAAGTTTGAGATACCAAATTAGGAACAGGAGTAGCTGAAGCTATTACATAGGTAACTAAGGCTACAGATAATATTAAGAGGTAGTCAAACAACTTCTGGGAGGGAACTATGTTTTGCAGCGAGTCTTGGTATTAGTTATTGACATGAACTTTCTGTGGACTGGTTACTAGTTTGGGTGAAATAATGCAATAAACAGCTCTGTATAAAAAATGAAGAGGAAGTTTAGGGGTTGGTTGTAGGTAAGAGCCCTAAAAAGAAGACAGGAAGTCAAAGGAGAGAGAAGCAGCTCGGAAAGATGGAAGGAATTTAGAACCCAAGGTGAAGATGTGATCAAGGTATAAATTACTTGGCCAGAACAGCCACAGGAATTTTTTTTCTTTACTATTAACTTTTTATTGAAAAGTAATAAGTGGTCCACCATCACACTGGTAACATTTAAGCTCCCGAGATACAGCTTGTATTCCAAGATACAAGCATTTAGTCCAGCACTGTTTGCTTAGCATTTTACAAAGCTACAAGACAGAGTGAACATGCAGCCCTGCATCTAAATGAAAGCTCAGTTCTCCCTGTGCACATAGATGAGGCTCCTGCCTCACCTGCCTGAGGGTGTAGATGACTGCTGGTGAGGCGGCCATGGTGTGTGGGGTTCACCTTAAAGCAGAAGAGCTTCTGCCTTGGTTTCCCACCAGTCATGTAGGCCTGCAATGCACCAATATTCCTCCCACAGGTCAGAGATTTCACAGTGTACCCCAATACCCAGCCCCCCAAATTTATCTTACCTTGAAACATATCCAAGGGACAGGTGCTAGGAAAAGGTAAATCTGAATTTTCCCCAGGCAGCTCTAGGTCTGGGGGAAAAAAGAGTACAGGCCTACTGCTAACCCTTTACTCACATAATGAGAAATATAAATCAGGTGTACATAGCTTAGTTTTCATAAAGTGAATATATTTGTGTAGCAAGCACTCAGCGGGAAAAAATGGTACATTCTAGAATTTCAGAAGCTATTCTCATTCCCTGTTTAATCTATTAGCATAATAATAAAGATCCTGATTTCCAACACTATGGATTAGTATGGACTATTTTGGAACTCTGTTGAATATAAATGGAATCTTATGGTATATGCTCTTTTATGCCTGGCTTCTTTCGCTTAATATGTTTATTTAACCCAATTATGTTGTATATAGTTGTATTTCATTCATTCGCGTTTCTGTATGTCCTCCACTATATAGCTATACACAAATTATTTATTCTACTCTTGATCGACACTTGGATTGCTTCCAGCTATTAAAATCAGTGTTACTATGAACACTTTTGGTTTTGTTTTTGTTTTCTTGGGACCCTCGCCGTTGGCCGGGGAACGACCAGCGCTGCAGAGGCTGCTGGCAGCCTCGCAGCCCAGCGCTCAACCGCTGCGCCACCAGGGGAGGCCCACTAAGAACACTTTTAATGTCTTTTAGTGAAAATATGTCTGTATTTGTGTTAAGTATATGCCTAGGCATGGAATTGGGCCAAATAGTACATGTATGTCCAGCTTTTGTAAATATTGCCGAAAGTGTCTGAGGGAGTGGGTGGGTGTGACAGGGTGGGGTGGGGGTGGGGGTGGGGGAATCCACTCTTGGCTGAGAATCATTACAAAAAGATTCTTGAGGGCCTCCCCGGTGGCGCAGTGGGTTGAGCACAGCCCTGTGAAGCTGTGTGCAGCCTCTGCAGTGCCGGTTTCCCCTCAGCAATGTTGTCGGCTTGTTCTGGGTTGTCGGCCTGTTCTGCTCCCCGCTCTGTCTCTGGTGAATTCTCTCACCCTCCCATGTCTCTGGCCTGTACTCCAACATTTTTTATAAATAAATATATCTTTAAAGAAAAGATTTTTTTAAAAAATAAGGCTCTTGACCTGGGATTGAGAGATCTATGAGAACTTGAATGAAAGAAAAACAAAAAACCCATTTAACTTTAGAAACACTCCCTATACTTCTGAAAGTAGGCAAAATAAATAAATAACGGTACCTTATTTTAGCAGTTTCTGGAACTGTGTCATAATAGGAAGAATTCTTATTTTCACATCATGTAGGAGTTGTGAATTTGCATTCTTGAGAGTGAATTTGCATTCATCACCACTTCAAAGCCAGGCATCTTTAGAACTACCACTAGATCTTGTCATTTAACTCAATAAAAAAGATATATTACTAAAAGCACACGTTTTAAAAATATTTTGATAACTGTTTTTAAAGATAGCTGGTTACCTTTTTAGTTCTCTGTGTTTTTATTTTATGTATTTAAAAATACTTTTCTGAGGGCCTCCCTGGTGGCTCAGGGAGGATTAAGCACCACACTATGAAGCAATCCACAGCCAGTGCAGCATGAGTTCGATCTCTGACCAGGGAGCAACACACATGGTGCAGCAGACATCTCCTGACCTGCCCGCTGCTCCCCTCAGCAGTATATTTCAGTCAATCTGCCTGTTCTGTTCCCCACTCTGTCTCTAGTGAATACTCTCATCCCCCGCATCTCTGGCCTGTACCCCAGCTCTTGTATGCATAAATAAATAAATCTAAAAAAAAAAAAGTAAAAATACTTTTCTGAGAAGGGGTATAATACTTCACCAGACTTCCAAAATGGTCTGTAGCATCTAAGATATTAAAAACCCCTATGTCAGAGATTTAAATTTGGACAGTCTCTGCTGGGTCATATGCCACTGATTAGCTGCTTATCATTACTTTCAAAGAAACCCATGAGGACTTAATTTTGGCCAGTGCTATGTGTTGATTTACCAATTTGTACATCTAGTCAAGTCTTTTTCATCCTGAAAGTAAGTCACTTTATTCCCTCCTCTCCAGACACAGTTAAGGCTGACCTTTGTCTTTTTCACCAGGCTTCTGTCCCCTTGTTGGGATCCCTGTGGTGATGAGTCAAGTCTCAACAAGTCAAGCCCCTGTGCTTGGCAGGAGAGAGAGAGAGGCTGGATACCTACTGACCCCTTCCAACCCTCCTGGAGTTCAGTTCCAGACCAGCACCTCAGTCTCTTTTCTTTTCCAGAGCCTCCCCTCCTGGCTAGTTTGAAGGAGACAAAATGGATAAAGGAAATCTCTGCAGAACAAAATGGCTTCATTCTACTTCCAAACCAAGAAGCTCCCCCCAAACCAAATTCAGACTGGCCTTTTTGACTGTCACCATTGGCAGGGGAGTGTTACTGCCATCTAGTGGATAAAGACCAGAGATGTTGTTGAACATCCTACAATGCACAGCATATCCTCCCACAAAAAATTATCCAGCCCCAAATATCCACAGTGCCAAGGTGGGATAGGGTATTATCAGAGCATAAGACCGTGAAGAAATTCATCTTGTTGTCATAGTTCCTGCTCCATTTCCTAATACCTGTTCTTTCTCCCTCTCCCTCCCCCAGATGAGAAGTGGTTGCTATAGCTCCAGACATCACCTTGACACACAGTACCATCCAAAGGAGAGAATATCTCCCTCCCAGCATTTCTACAGGAGTCCTGACATTCTCTCTGGTTCAGATCCATATCCTCCTTGAGCAAATCTTTGTAGCTCAGGGTATGGAGTGCTCTGATTGGTTTAGCCTTGGTCATGTGCTTCCACAAAAGCCAGGAAGGGAATCCATTTACCTACAACTATTTGGAAATAGAAATTGAGAGATCTTGGGACAGTCAGGGAGGGGAAAGTAAAGATATTGGAATGATTATCAACAATGGTCCTCTGTTCATCTTCTAGTTGCTTTCTTACTATCTGGCCATAAATCATGTTGTTTGTTTGGGCCTCCCTGGTGGTACCAGGGGTTAAGCACTGCACTATGAAGCAATCCACAGCCTCTGCAGCACGAGTTCGATCCCTGGCTGGCCAGGGAGCAATTCACACAGCGAGGCAGACCTCTCCTGTCTTGCCCGCTGCTCCCCTCAGCATTGTGTTTCATTCTGCCTGCCTGTTCTGTTCCCCACTCTGTCTCTGGTGAATCCTCTCACCCCCCCTAACCCCCCACCATCTCTGGCTTGT